CTCCCAGCTGTGGCTCCGGCTCCTGCCCCAGGTGACCCAGAGCCCCCACGGGTGACACCCGTGTCGCAGGGCCTGGACCCCCACATGGCCCCCACTGGGTGACCTGGAACGGCGCTGGGTGACACCTTCTCCCTGCGCGTGGGTGTGCAAGGGGCATGCATGCGAGGTGGGTGCCATCACGTGGTGGGCATGTGCAGGGGAGCAGACGTGTGCTTAGCGTGTGCGCGTGTGCCCTCACACAGGGCTGCACCCCCCACTGTGGGCGGGGCCAAGCCGGGTGTGGCAGGGATGGGTGGTGCCAAGCAGGGTTTGGCACATGTGGGTGGAGCCAGGGGGGCAGTGGACTCTACAGGGTGCTGGAACCACTCGACGCCCCCAGTGTCCCCATCACACCCTTCATCCTCACCATCCTCATCACCCCCATCATCATCAACCCCATCATCCTCATGACCCCCTTCATCCTCATCATCCTCATCATGTCCTTCAACCCCATCACCCCCATCATCCTCATCACCCTCTCACTCCCTTCATCCTCACCACCCCCATCATCTTCACCCCCATCATCCTCATGACCCCCTTCATCCCCATCATCCTCTTCACTCTCATCCTCATCACCTCCATCATCATCATCACCCTCTTCAGCCCCATCACCCCCACCACCTCCATCCTCCCCTTCAACACCATCACTCCTTTTGTCCTTATCGTCTTCATCACCCCCACCCTCATCACCCCCTCATCCCCTTCACTCTCATCACCCCATCATCCTCTTCATCCTCATCACCCCCTTCAGCCCCATCACCCCCACCACCTCCATCCTCCCCTTCACCCTCATTGCCCCTGTTATCCTCATCATCCCTTTCATCCTCATCAGCCCCATCATCCCCTTCATCCTCACCACCTCCTTCATCCCCACCACCCCTGCCACCTCCTTCATCCTCATCACCCCCATCCTCCCTTTCACCCCATTCATCCCCCTCACCCCGTTCATCGCCATCATCCTCATCCTCCCCACCACCCCCATCACCTCCACCACCTCCATCCTCCCTTTCACCCCCATCAACCCCTTCATCCTCATCACCTCCTTCATCCCCACCACCTCCTTCATCCTCATCACCCCCATCTTCCCTCTCACGCCATTCATCCCCATCACCCTGTTCACCGCCATCCTCATCCTCCCCACCACCCCCATCACCTCTGTCCTCCCTTTCACCCCATCACAGCCATTGTTCTGCAGGCTTTTTGAATAATAGGGATTAATTGAAAAAGCAGCTGGAGCGTTTTACCTAATTCCTGAAAAATTGTGTACCAAAGCATGATAGATTAC